CCCCCCCCCCCCCGCCCCCCCCCCCCCCGGGGCCGGGCAGCCTCTGGAAGCCCGGTCCTCCTCCTCCCTCACACTTACGGTCCAGGCCGTTGATGTAGCGCATGGTGACTTCGCAGTGGCCCCACACGGCGCTCACCACCGGGTACAGCTTCTTGCCCTTGAGGCCCCGGAAGGCCACACCCAGGTACTGGCCGTCCACGATGAAGCTGAGCGTGCCCTCGTCCATGTCCAGCACGACCAGCAGCGAGTCGGGCAGCGCGAAGGCCTCGTCGGGCCCCAGGAAGGCTGGGTAGGCCACTCCGGGCCGGTTCTTGCCGTCGTGGTAGAGGCGGCTGCGGCCCAGGTCCCAGCCCCACGACTCGGCGTCACTGCCCACCAGCGCCGTGTAGCCCACGGAGTGCAGCGGGGCGCGGGCCGTGGCCACGCCAACTACAGCGTGAGTGCCCCGCTGGCGCGCCGGCCAGCTGATCTGCCAGGCGTGCAGGCCGCGGGCGTGGCCCACCTTGCCGCGGATGCCGTCGGTGCTCTGGGCCACCGGGTGCCGGTGGAAGGTGAGCCTGTCGTCGTCCTTGACGAAGACGTTGAGCGAGCGGTCCTCGGGGTTCCACGCGTGCCGCAGCTGCACAGCCAGCCCTGCGGCCGGCATGTCCAGCAGCTGGTCCAGCCGAGCCGGCCGCCCGGGCTCCGCGCCCCGCAGCTCCCTCTTGGTGGGCCGCAGGGCGGGCTCCCGCACCTCCACCGACTTGAGGCTCCCCGAGAGCTTCTGGCCCATGCTTCACACCGGGAGGGGGCCTGCTGGCCACCGCTACCTCGTGAGGGCGGCCACTCCCCGCAGCCGGGGGTGGGCCACAGGGCTGGGAACCGAACTTCGGGACTGCAGACCTCCACAGCCTCTACCGGGCTGGGGCGGGGGCCCAAGCTCCTGAAAGGAAGCAAAGGGCAGAGTTATAGCAGCAGTGCCAGGTACCACTGGCTTCATTTACACCCATGCCTTGGCGGAGCCCTGGCATGCCTAATAATAGCACTAATTCATATGCTCATACCTGGCACTAATCTAGCGCTCACCATATGCCAGACAGGGCTCTAAGTGATTTGTATTTATTAGCTTGTTTAATACTTAAGACCTCCCTATAAGATATATGCATCATTATCCACACTTTACAGATGAGAAAACTAAAGTGCAGAGAGAGAATAAATAATTAGCCAAAGTCCCACAGCAAGTGACTGAGCCAAGATTCAAACAAAAAAATCTGGCTCTAGAGTCTGTGTTCTGCACTTAGAACAATCATGGGTAATCTTATCTTAGACATAAGGAGTGAGCCCAGAGAAGCTATGACTTGCCCAAGATCACAGAGCCTGGATGAGAACCCAGGAGCATCATCCCAGGGGAAAAGCCTTGTGCCAAGGCTGAGGGGACACAGTTGCCCAAGACACGGGGCTGCAGACATGTAGGGTATACCTCAGTGATTCCCAACCCCGAAGGCACTGGAGAGCTTAAGTTTTTGTAGAGATGAGATCTCACTATGTGGCCCAGTTTGGTCTTGAACTCCTGGCCTCAAGTGATCCTCCCACCTAAGCCTCCCAAAGCACTGGGATTACAGGCAGGAGCCACTGAGCCCAGTTTCTGGGGTGTTTAAATAGCATCCTGAATGCAACCAGGCTTAAAAAGCAAGACACAGAGTGAGAGTGCAGCAAGGTCACCTAGGGACGTTGACATAAGGCAACCATGAGAGGATGCAGTAGGATGTCTATGGAAGGGTGAGTGGGCTGAAGGGGAAGGATAAGGGAGCTGGTGTCTGGGCTCTGGAGCCAGACAGCACTGCACCCAAATCCCTCTCCATCCCTTAACTTCATGTCCACCGGAAGACCTCCTAGCCTCTCTGAGACTCTGGATTCCCCATCAGTAAAATGGCGATAAGACACAAACTCCCTCTGATTATGTGGGAACTTGAGAGACAATAATAGAAAGAGCCAGGCCTGGAACTCTGCTGGGAGGTTTTCCTCTCTGGCTCTGTTCTCTGGGTATCCCATATGGATCCCTTCCCTTTGGATGGAAGAGCTATTTCTTTGGGCATATAAACACCGTTAACAGCACTGACCCCAGACAACCTTCCCTGAAGCAGGATCCTAGTGTTCATGAAGAAGGAATTGGCCACTGTCACTAGAAGACCAGCCAGAACCCAGGGAGCGTGGACTACTTGGGCAGACCCTGAGTGTGGGGACAGACAGAGAGCTGAGTCCTGCAGCCTGATGTGTCCTCCTCTCCCTGGCCTGAGAGCAGCTGGGTTCAGAACAACTTCCCCCGAGACAGATGAGGAGACAGATGGGTGTTGTTCATGCCCTGCCCTACCTGGCCTCAACCTCCCACCCAAACAGTGGCACACCCCCAGTGAAAGTTCAGGTAGGTAAAAAAAGGAATCCTGCTGCCACACAGCACAGACAGGTACACTGGGTTTCTTTTGAACCTTCCCATTTTATTCTCGACTCTCATATTCTTTCCTTTTTCTTGTCAGATCCCAGCTTCAGCAGATGTCAACCCTATTCAGAGCACTCTGGCTAATGTTTGATCCACGGGAAATACCAGAACACATAACAATTTGCAACACTAGGCAGTTTTCAGATAGCAGAATAAAGTTGCTCCTTTTCATATCCAAAATCACCCAGAATCAAGGAGAAAGAGAAACAAATGCAAACTCCTTCTTCAGCAAAACTGAAGAACACATCTGTAACCTGAACCACAACGTATTAAGGAAAGGCTGCCAAAAACAGGAAGGAGTTGCCAAAAGCAGTGAAGATAGAAAATGCTATCAGAAAGCACCTCCAGAAGTCACCTGTGGCTGCAGATCTCAGATAAAGCTGGTACTCCCTGAAGGAAAAAAAAAACAAACCAACGATTCCTCTTCAGGAAAATGGGTACAGGATATGTGGTCTGGCAGTGGGAGCTGCCTTCCACACCCTGGAGAAAGAGGAAGGCGGGGCTAACAGGATACCACAGATCTGCCATCTTCACAGGAAGCAGTATGTTGGTGAGGCAGAGAGGGAGGAGGGATCTGAGCTGGGGGGAGCCCACAGCTGAAGCTCTCTGTTGACTGAGTAGAAGCACAGACTAAAAGAAATCACTACCACAATCCTGCGATCGAAATTCCTGTGAACCAGGGAGCAATCTTGGCCTCCTAACACACTTCCTGGCACCTCCTGTCCATTCATCACCTGCAACAGGCTGATCCAGGAAGGCTCATCTCTTTCAAAGAGGTACCAGCACAGGATATAGTCAAAGATGATCAAAGAAATACAGGAGTGAATGAATAGGATGAAACATGGCAAACCAAAAAAACTCACACAGACACACAAAATCTGTCACAAAGCAGATAAAAATTGTAATTAAATGCGTAAACTCATTTTGTGATTATTTCAAAAGCGAGACAACTAGTGCAGTCTCAACAAAAGATTAAATCCATTTTGGGTAATTAAAGTTACCACCAGAACTAAAAATAAAATACAAACTTTGCAAACTGTCAGAAGGAGCACAACACAAAATAAAACAGACCATATACAGAAAGATTTTGTTTTAAGGAGCAACAGAAACAAAAAGACACAAAGACATAAAATATGACAGTAAAACTAAGACCAAGATATCAACCATGTCAATGACTGGCCACAGTAAACTACTAAAAAGAAAAGATTCTGAGATTGGGGAACAGGACAAAACGCCCAGCCATATGCTACCTATAAGAGACATCCCCAAGGCAAAGTGATTCAGCACTTTTGAAAATAAAGGAAGGGCAAGCACATACCAGCTAAGTGTAAACTCAAAGAAAGCAGGCACTGTAATCTTAATATTAGGCAAGAAAAGTGGACTTCAGGGCAAAAGGTTTTAAATGAGACAAAGAAGTATACTTTATAATAATGAAAAACACAATGCACAACTGAAGATTCACCAAATAACAGCACAAAAATTCACAGCAAAAGCATGACACAACACAAGGAGGGATCTCAGAGACACATCAGAGGCCAGAAATTTTAATTTCCCTCTTCTAGCTCATGACAAACAAATGGGCCAAATTAGGTAAAGACACAGAAAAACCAAAATTACATAGCTAATGAGACGATGTACTTGATGTGTATATCAAATTCTATACCTGGCCGAGTGCGGTGGCTCAAGCCTGTAATTCTAGCACTTTGGAAAGCTGAGGAGAGAGGATTGCCTGAGCCCGCAGGCTTGAGACCATCCTGTGCAACAGAGTGAGGCCTCGTCTCTACGATAATTAGTTGGGCATGGAAGTGTGCATCTGTAGTTCTGGCTACTTGGAAGTCTGAGGTGGAAGGATAGCCCAGAGCCCAGCAGGTCGATGCTAGGGTGGCCATGAGTGTGCCACTGTACTTCAGTCTGGGTGACGGAGTTAGACTCCAACTCAAAAATAAATACATAAATAAATAAAAATTCTATACTTTGGAAACAAAGAATGCATGTGCTCTTCAAGTGTTCATGGAACCATCAGAAAAATTTCCCATAGAGTAGGCCGCAAATAAAACTTCATCAAAAAAGCTAAATTAAACTAGAAATTAATCACGAAATTATGAATCATAAAGAAAGAATTCATATAGAAATTGTAGAATATTTAGAATATAACAACAGCAAAAAAGATAACATATATTAGGACCTGAGGGATGCCCCTAAAGCAGTGCTCAGAGGAAATCATGGCTGGCATACTTAGACCGTTACATCTTTAAAAATGAATTAAGCATAATAAAATAGGAAAATAATATAACTAATCAAAACTCAAGAGCAGGTTCTTTGGGAAAGCCTAACACAAGAACAAAACAAAACCAGCAAAGCACACAAACTATTTAATCCAACCATGTAATATATCACATTATCTGTTATATGATTATTGTTATATTACTATCTATTATATTAATCTATCATGTTGATAGTATGTACCATACTTCACATAAGATAGTGAAATGGCACTTTACGTCTGTGGCCTTCCTCCCTAAAACCCGTAAACCACGAGAAGAACAAAGAACAAATTCCAGTTGAGGGCCGTCCAACAAAATACCTGAACAGTACTCCTCGAAACTGTCAAGGTCATCAAAAACAAAGTCTGAGAAACTGTCAAAGCCAAGAGGAGCCTACGGAGACACAAAAACTCAACATACTGCAGTGGCCTGGATGAGATTCTAGAATAGAAAAAGGATATTAGGTAAAAGCTAAGGAAGTCTGAATAAACTATGGGCTTCAGTTAATAATAATGCGTCATAGTGTGACTTCATCTCTACAAAAGGTCCAAAAATTAGCCGGGCATGGTAGTGCGCATCTGTAGTCTCAGCTACTTGGGAGGCTGAGGCAGAAGGATTACCTGAGTCCAGGAGGTCGAGGATGCAGTGAACCATGATCGTGCCACTGCACTCCTGCTTGGGCAACAGAGTGAGACCCTGATTCAGAAAAAAATATATAGATACTAGTACATTACTTGTGAAAAATGTCCCACATATAATAATAGCAGAAACTGGGCTGCATAGATGGGACCTCTCTGTAGTATCTGTTTAGTTTTTCTATAAATCTAAAATTATTCTTAAGAAAAAAAGCCTATTAATTAGAAAACCTTAAATAAATTTCTAAATTTTAGGAAATACAAGTAAAGTGCAAACCTAGAATTCACCTCCTCCTATCTCATTAACCAGATACAAACATCCTTAGTTCTTGGAAGAAGCTTATTTTATTCTTTTTATTTATTTATTTTTTACTATAAAATATCAGCAAATTTTCTTCTTAAAATTTGGTATCATGGGCCTTTATTTACATTGTTTAGCCTAAAATTGCATAACTAGTATTTTTGCATATTACTAATTATACTTTACATGGATGACTTCCGTGACTCAATTTTTTAAAACATATAAAACACACAAACCATTTAATTT